AGGCGCCGAGCCTATTTATTTTTGAGACAGAGTCTCATTCTGTAGCCCTGGGTAAAGTGATGTAGTGTCATAGCTCATAGCAACCTCAAACTCCGGGGTTTGAGCAATCCTCCTTCCTCAGCCTCCCAGCCTGCCCCCTCCCAGCTGGGACTACAGCAGTCCACCACAATGCTTGGCTAGTTTTTCTATATTTTTTGTTTTTAGTAGAGACAGAGTCTTGCTTTTGCTCAAGTTGGTCTCTAACTCCTGAGCTCAAGCAATCTGCCTGCCTCCACCTCCCAGAATGCTAGGATTACAGGTGTAAGCCACCACATCCAGTCTGGAAATCAATTTTTAATTTTGTTTCTCTTTTTTTATTGTTTGTTTGGGGTTTTGTTCAGTTTTTTATTTGTTTCTTTGTTTTTTGTTAATCAGGCCCCAGTGAGGTTCAAACTTGCCACCCCCGGCATGTGAGACCGGAGCGCTAACCACTGACCATGGCACCCAGCATCAATTCTTAATTTCATAAAAATGGATAAATATTCACATTCAGTAATTCTGCTCCTTGGTGCCTAGCTATAAATACAAGATCATGTTCCTAAAAGATGCATGTACAAGAAAGTTCTTTAAAATATTAATTAAAAGATTAATACATTGGAAATGATCTTAATTCCTCCTCTCTCAAATAGGGGAACATTAAACTATACTATAACACAGAATACTACCCAGTGGTCCAGAGAATTAGATAAATCTACTTTTTCTGCCACAGAAGGAAATCTAAGATACTTTTAGAGAGAAATGCGGGAAATTGGAGAATAATACCTGATAGGTAATAATATTTATATTAAAAATATACGAACTCCATTTCTGTATTTTCCCCCAAATCCTGTAAAGATCTTCCTGTATTTTTCAGTGATATATTCAAGCGTGGATTTCTTCTTACTTACTTTACTTACAACTTACTAGGATTCTTATATCTGAGAATTCATCAATTTAGGAAACATTTATTATTTGTTCAAATATCACTGCTTATTCATTTTCTTTTCCTTCTAGAACTCCTATTAGCTATAATACTGAGCCTATTCATTTTTAATATTCTTTTGTCTTTAATTTCACTATATCTTTATCTTTCTAAGCTGTGAAGATTGATAAAACATACTTGTCACTAATGCTATCACCTCTATCTAATGTGCTGTTATATTTATCCTTTGAGCCTTTAATTTCAATGACTTTCTTTTTTCTTTTTTTTTTTTTTTTTT